CGAAACATTTCGATGTGTTTTAATTGCGAATCTGTGAAATGCTTCACTGGCTAAAAGCTTTTAAGTAAATATGATTTATATATTGTGTATTTTAATCAAATTTGTGTTTTTTTTTAAAAAAAAAAAAATTTTTGCATACCTTCTCCGTGATATATTTTGAAGCCCAATAATGAATTAGTCGTGAGAGCATTGTAGAAAATTTACAATTTTACAGTAGCAACAATTCAATTTTTTTTATTGGCTATGATCATACGTACTATGATCACACTACCAAATATTAAAATCAAGATTTTTTTTTATCACCTGCTATAATCGTAATAAAAGTAAAATAGAGACAAAAACTTTGATTGCCGATAATTTTTTTTATAAAAATTATCGGCATATCAAGTAAATCATGCGTTGCTACCTAATAAAGAATAAATAATTCATTACGGGTAGCGGTTAAAAATTATGACGAGATATTTATAGGCGTTACTCTCCATTTTTTTAACGTGTCTAAAATTTTTTACGTATTCGTTATGGTTATTCACATTTTTAATATAATTTTACTTGCTACATATTGTTTATTGTACCCTTTAAATGTGAACTCTGAACTATTCACTGGGCAACCGAATATGGTCCTTGTAGAGTCTAATTCCACGAAAACTTTTACTAGTGACCAAAATGACGTTGCCCAAATTGCTAACATTCCACTTCCACCGACGAGTGGGATAAGGGTAATTTGCTATTTATTAAATTATGTTACTTTTGCTATATTTCCATTTAATATTTATTATTATCTATTTACCTTATCTAAAGGGAAATCCCTTGTTTATCGGAAGTGACTTATGTAATAATATTCCTAACAGTCCCCCAAACAACTCAATTAGAATAGCAATATTCCGAGATAATATTGCATGCGATGTTCAAAAGCAGATCAAAAGTATTGCAGGAATTTCATCTGGTATAATACAAGGAATACTTTTATATAGTAATAACAGTAATGGCACAATACCGAGTGATCGGCTGTCAGTAGACATTGGTGCGGTCATAATCCCTACGTTTTACGTGAGTCAAAATGTAGTGAACTTCATACGAAGCGTCGATATTGATAATTCGCGCGTATTTATTGAACTATTCCCAATGCAAAAAAATATCACAACAACTTTACAAATTACTTTTATCGGGATTTTGTTCACCTTCTTGATAGCCTTCGGTATTTCACGCAAGTATCATTTCTACATTACACTACTTTGATTTGTTATTATGAGAGTTATATGTTTTATATGTACCCTTATTTTTTTTATTGTAATTTGTAGTTATCATTAATTATGGTTTACATCGATGTAGACGTCGTAGACTTCGATTTAACAATACTATAGCTATGACGAATTTAACCCCCACTTTCCTGGAGAAAGAAGTGGTAGAGACTTTTCCTGTTAAGAAATTCATAGAGAGTAATATTAATGAACATTCGGTAGTTAATATCGATGTGACAAATAACAATGTCATATTACGGTCGAATATAAATCATAAAGACATTAAATCAACGCCACGAATCAGTGTATCTCAAGAAAAATTAACTGATGATGAAGAATCATCGAAAACGCAAAACATAAAATCATCATCAGCGAGTGATAAACATGTTGGAGATATAAATAAAACACAAAACTCCTCAGAAATTACTGATGACCTAGTATCTTCCGTATCGCACGATGACCAAAAGGTAGTAACATCAATGACCGTCCCTGTCGAATCAACATCTACTGAAGGAACTGAGAAAGAAATTCCTTCTGAATCTTCGACAAGTATTCATACTTCAATAGATAAAAAAGCGTCAGTATCACCTACAACAGAGCCCACTACTGAATCCAC